TGGGAGAATAGACTGGCAGCAGGGGGTGGAAATTGTACTGGTACAGATAGAAATCATGCCAGGTAACTCAGTTAGTGGAGTGCCTTGCTCCTCTTCTCACCAGAAGCTGAATGTCAGACCGGCACAAGAAGAGGTAGAAGTCTTGGGAGCAGTTAGGTGGCGCAGAACACTGGCCCTGGAATCAGGAGGACCTGAGTTCAAATCCGACCTCAGATGCATAGCACTTACTAGCTGTGTGACCCTGGGCAGGTCACTTAACCCCATTGCCTAGCCAAAAAAAAAAAAAAAGAGGTAGAAGTCTTACCTACCCAGGGGAAGTTAAATTGGGACAGATGGTCTTAATGTCATTCCTTAACAGTGCTCTATATACCACAAGGGATAGGTTTCTTGCCTTTTGTGATATTCTTGTTCCCAACATAGCAAAAAACAAACATTTTGCTGTCCTTAGAATATCTCCTCAGTACTGTAAGCTCTAACTTTCCTGATCTTATTCTTGCAGGTTTCATCTCTCTTTTTGTTGTATCTTTAGTTGTTTGTATGTATTTGCATATTTTATTAATTTTTTTTTTAACCCATGGCCCAGAATCCTGAGCTTTTGGCTCATATGGACCAAGGTCTAGTCCTGGAGGCAGTCCTATAAGTGTTGTTTTCTCTTTGACTTGTAAATTTTCCTACTTGAAGTTTATTCTGGGAAATAGCTGAATGTAGATTGTGCCTCAATCTTGTAGATATGGGTAAAAAGGTCTATCACTTCCTGTTCAAGCACTCAGGATAACAAATAGATACAGGGTACAGGGTAGCTTTGATTTCATCCCAAAGGAAATGAAGAAGATGTAATGAACTTACAGGAGCCCATAAACAAATGCAGAAACCTTACAAAGGGACTTGCAATTGTCCATAAATAATTAATATTCTTCTCCTTCTCTAGTGAGTCCCACTTTCCCATAAAATCTTGCATAGTCTGTACCAGACTTGTCATGTTATCTTGTACTTTAGACCTCTCCACCTCCCCTGAAGGAAACTCACTGATAGTTCAGTGAATCCCTCTGTTGTTTCACAGAAACCATAGGAGGGCATGATCTTTCCCAGAAAGGAAATACACTTGAGGCTGTAGGAGAGGCAACTTCCTTCACATTAGACCTGCATCATCCAAATAACTTTCTATAATAGTGGAGGGCACAGTCCTGGTCCTTTTCCTCTCTGTGTCACAGCTTTTAATCCCTTGTCTCTACTCCATCCAACATCAGGAGTTACATGGGCAATCCTCTCTTCTCTCCAAGGGACAGCTTAAGAATATCGCCTTGTTTGTATTGCCTTCTCAGATCTCCAGACACTCAGACTCGAGGTTGCTTATGAAGCAATCTCTGAGGCTGACATTGTGCCAGACATCTCTGTTTTCTGGCTGGAAGGCCAGATTCTGGGCTTACTGCGCCTAAGAAATCCTCACCCTGCCTCCAATTTAGCATTGCCCAAGAACTTCTCTCTTGGGTCATGTGGGAAAAGAAAAACAAGACTACTTCTGCTGTTGGTTGGCTTTTGGGGGTGGAGGGAGGGAATTCTCAATCCACTCCCATCCCCACCTGCTATTCTCTCAGGATTATCTCCGGATGAAAGGAGGAAGGAGAAAGGCAAAAAGATCCTGAGTTCTTGATGGAATGTACTAAAAAAAATTATTTATTTTAGTTTTCAGCATTCACTTTTATAAGATTTTGAGTTCTAAATTTTTCTCTCTCCCTCCCCTCCCCCCTCCTCAAGACAGCATGCAGTCTGAAATAGGCTATACATGTTCGATCATATTAAACATATTTCCACATTAGTCATGTTGTGAAAGAAGTCTCAGAACAAAAGGGAAAAACCACAGGAAAGAAAAAAACAAACAAAAAAAGAGAAAACAGTGTGCTTCAATCTGCATTCAGACTCCATAGTTCTTTCTCTGGATGTGGATGGCATTTTCCATCAGGAGTCTTTTGGAATTGTCTTAGATCATTGTATTGCTGAGAAGAGCTAAGTCTAACAAAGTTGGTCATCATACAATGTTGCTGTTACTGTGTACAATACTCTCTTGATTTTGCTCACTTCACTCAACATCAGTTCATGCAAGTTTTTCCAGGTTTTTCTGAAATCCACCTTATGGAACAATAGTTGGAAGTTACGTTTATAGGCCAGTGAAAAGGGGTGGCTCTGACAAGAGTCCATCCTCCCAAGGGTAAGAACCAATTTGTCCTGAGGGCAGCCCCCATCAGGGGAGCCTCTTCTTCAGGAGGTGCCAAGGAACAGCTCCAAATGGAGCAGTTCATCTTGGGACAACCCCTGTCACTTAAGACCTGGTCAAGTCATGCCAATGGACATGTCCTCCCTCCATAGGAAGATGCAGCTGAAAATACTGACAAAGATTCCCCCTCTGGGAGGCTTACATCCCCAACAAAGGCTCATCTCTCTGTGAGCTCAGTGAATCTGATTGAGGGGAACTCCCAGATCAACTCTTTATTTGGGTTGTCAGAACCTTATTAGACTTACGAAGTCATGTTAAGTCTCTTTTGATGCCTCACCTTTTCTTCTTTATGGAGATCACTTATGATCCCCACCCATGCTCCTCCACCTTTTTTCTCTCCCTCCTCCCCCATCATGATTGTATTGTCAGCTATCCTCATCTCCACATTCACTTGTGAGAACAAACACTTATCAAAGGCAAGTATAAATAATCTTTAGTTTAGTAGCTACTTTTGGATTATCTGTGCTTCTGCTCTTTAATCCATTAGTATGGATAATTGAGATGAAGGCTAGTATCTCACCTTAGTTCAGCACAAAGTGCTGCTGTGTCTCTCTGGGGGACTTCAGGGCTGTTTGCAGAACACAGCTTTTTGGTGTAACTATTACTCTTCAGTCTTTTGACACTGATCTCAGGATTGTTTTCACAGCATGTCAAGATTTGCAGAGCTCATCACTGATTGCAGAGACCACTTTTGTTCTGACTCCCTTCTCTGCTCCACTATCACCACCACCACCACCCACACCCACCCACACACACACACACACACACACACACACACACACACACACACACACACAAGTTGGCACCAAATTTTGGCTTACAGGGGGCAGCTAGGTGGTGCAGTGGATAGAGCACCAGACCTAGAGTCAGGAGGACCTGAGTTCAACTCTGGCCTCAGACGCTTGACATGTACTAGTTGTGTGACCCTGGGCAAGTCACTTAATTCCATTGCCTAGCCAACAACAACAAAATTTTTTTTGCTTACAAACATAGAGTCCATTATTTCTGAGGGCAGACCCTCCCCCATCCTTTTTTTCCCCCTCCTAGGTCTCCCCCATATCATTTGAAGTTTTGCTTCCCTACTTTTGCTTAGCTGCCTCCAGACTTTCTGCTCAGTCTTATCCCTGTTTAGCCATTTCAATCATGTCTGACTCTTTGCGACCCTGGTTGAGGTCTTCTTGCCAAAGATACTGGAGTGGTCTACCATTTCCATCTCCAGCTCATTTACAAATGAGGAAACTGAGGCAAACAGGGTTAAGTGTTTCCAGGGTCACATAGCTTAGGAAGGTCTGAGGCTGGACTGAACTCAGGAAGATGAGTCTTCCTGATTTCGGGCCTGGCACTCAATCCACTGTGACACCTAGCCGCCCTCCATCTTATCGTTCCCCTCTGTCAAATGGATATGCCCAACACTTTTCCTCTTTACTCCAGCACTATATACTATGCAAACATGAGGGAGGTGAATCCTGATTAAGCCCCAGGAACTGTCTGTCCTTCACTTTTTCCACGAACTCTCTATTGCTTTTTACAGAGACTGCCCTGGACACAGAGCTGGACATACTCCCCTGCCAGCTCATCCCAGGAAGAGGACCCCAGCCATGAGAGGGGGGAGAATGATATGGGTGGGCAGGGAGTTAAGCTTTAACCTGGTGGGTGTAGGACAGGAAAAGAACTTACATGGGAGTCTGAGAGGGCAAAAAGTACCAATACAGGGAGCTGTACCTCATTCTTTCTCTTTTTTTCTCTCTCTCCAGCATTCAGCCCAGAAGCCAACCCTTAAGAAGACTACAAGCATCTAGTGATGTAGTGCAGCGCATGCAAGGAGTTTTTCAGGGAGACATGATGAAAGAATTCTTGGCTGAATTCATAAGTACATATATCATGATGGTAAGAGGCCAGTGCTGAAGGAGGGAACCATTCTTATTTCCTCCCACATGTGCCTGGGCCAGGACGGGCAGGGAAGGGAGCCTGTATGTGTCACATTTTGACTGTACAGGGAATAGCCATCCTCTTATCTCTAAAGAGGAGAGGGCTAAGAGGGACAGGAAAACCAGATGAGAGCTGAGGGTACTGTCTCTATAGCTCCAGATGAGAGAAAGTGCCACAGGGGAGCCAGAAGTCCAGGGCTCCTTCTCCTTGCTCCATTTGGATAGGGGGTTGAGGGTGCCAAGGAGGAAGGGGATACATAAGCTTGGTCTAATGAGAAGTGGGGTAGGACATAACCCCAGCCAAAGGGAAGCTCATAGTCTAATGGGGAGACGAGACCCATGTCTATGAAATAATTAGAGAACACCACAGGCTAATAGGTGAACAAAGGCTAGAATATGTGCTTCAGACTTAACCTAACTGCTGTAGGAGTTCTGAGAATGGCAAAGTCAGTATGAGCTGGGTGTAGTATTAGAGGGTTTCCCTGAAGAGCTGAAACTGAAGCTAGGCTTGAATGAATAGAATGCAATTATTTTTTCCAGGGGCTTGCATAGTGTTGAAAAGTTTATTTTACATATTTAATTTTACTAAATATTATACAATACATTTTTATTAAACTGCAGTGTAAATTTGAATAAACAGTTGAATCTTAATCAAGTATAATTTTTTTTAAACTTACATTCCTGAACACAGCAAAAATTTCTTTATTTTTTCTGAATTATTATCGGTAATGTTTATGAATGTGCAGCACACTATCTAGTCTAGGACATGGACCCCAAGCCTCATCAAATGCTCCCTCTGAGATCTGGTAACTCGAACTGGACACAATACACCACCAAAGTAGTCTCACCAGGGTAGAATACAGAGTGCCAAATTACTTCCTTATTCCTGGAATCTCTGCTTCTCTTAAGGCAACCCAAGATCTTGTTACTTTTTTTTTTTTTTTGGTTGCTGACACATCTCAGGCTTGTGGGCCACTTTCACCTTCAGATTTTTTTCAAACCCACTACTACCTAATCAGGCTTCCCTCTTTTTGTATTTTACAGATCAGGAAACTGAGGGGAGGTGACTTGTCAAAGGTTCCACAGCTAATATGGCATTATACTAATTATGTTAATACTACAGATTGAAGAAGATGAGAATGGAGAAGAAGTGATTGGATTTGATGATTAGGAGGTCATTGGTGACCTTGGAGAGATCAGTTCTGGCAAAGTGATGTGGGAAGAGACATTACAAAGTGTTAAGGAGGGAGTGGATAGTGAGAAAGCTATGGGTGGTTTGCTACCATGTTGTCAATAAAACCAGTCTTTCTATTTAGCCCATAACTAATGTCATCCGGGCCATACTGATACAACTCAACTCCAGTCAACAGAGGACAATAAGACAAGCCTACAGCTAGTCTCTCCCCCCAAACCATACCAAAGGTCAGGGTGGTAATAAGCACTGAACTCAGAGTTAGGACTTATGAGTTGATGAAGTCCTTGTTCTTCCACTGGCTCACTGTGACTTTGGGTAAGTCACTTAAGCTCTCTGGGCCTCAGTTTCCCTAGCTATGCAATGCTTATATGTAAGCACTAGACAGATGTAAAGCATTATTAATTACATAGTATCTTAATGTAGTGCTTTATAATTCTCAAGTTTTCAAGGACTAAATTCTATGACCCACTTTAAATAAATCTGTATCCTTTATGAGAAAGGATGAGAAGTTGTAAGAATAGAGAGAGAGAAAAGGTAAGGGGTATTAGAGATACATCCCACCAGTCCTTAGGTAAGCAGGGAAGGGATAGTAATTTCTTTAGGTTCTTTTCTTGGTGAGGCAATTGGGGTTAAGTGACTTGCCCAGAGTCACACAGCTAGTGAGTGTTAATGTATCTGAGGCTGGACTTGAACTCAGGTCCTCCTGATTCCAGGGCTGGTGCTCTATTCACTACACCACCTAGCTGCCCCAATTTCTTTAGTTTCTCAACAAGAATAGGGGCTGTAGGAGAACAGAATGAAAAAATTAAGGCACTTGGGGCAGGAAGCAGAAAGGGGCCTTGGTGTAAGGAGGAAGGAAAAGGTGACTGTGGGGAGAATCGAGGGCCTTAATAATGGATTTGGGCTGGGGGATTTGCTTATTAGGAGCCCGCTTTCTTGGAGATTTTTCCCTTCTGGGAGTGCATTCCATCCTAGGAGAAGGATGTTTGAGTGCCCAAGGGCAGTCAAAGAATATCCAGGGTAATAGGGAGGCATAAAATAAAAAATGGTAAAAAACTGGCCTTAGGAGTGGAGAGCAATCATGATGACAGCAGGATGTAGGCTAGAGATTCATGAGTTGGGACACAGAGTGGCTCACAATACATGGCATTGCTTCCTTTCTGAATCAATATTTCAGAAGTGGTGGACAAGGAAGACAAAAAGGGAGGGGAACAATCCACATGAATTTCTTCAAAGGGCTTTCACGCCCCATCATCTCATTAGATCCTTAACAATCCTGTAAAGTAGGAGGGTATTATTCTCCTTTTGACAGGTGAGTTAATTGAGGCAGAGAGAAGACTTGACATGCTGCAGTCCACATCTTTGGACTCCAAATTAGTGTTCTTCCACACCTTGTAAAGAAAGAGTGAGGTGTGGGGGTGGGGAGGAGCTAACATCCGTAAACAGTTCACTGGTTTGCATGGTCAGGCATTGATTAGATGATGGATAGCAGCTGCTATAATTCCTGGAGATTTTTACAAATGGGAAGAAAAAAAACTTCCCTCCATCTCCTTTTCCTCTTTTTTGTTGTTATTCGGTTGTGTCCAAATCTTTGTGACAAATCCATGGGGTTTCCTTGGCAAAGATACTGGAGTGGTTTGTCATTTTCTTCTCCAGTGTATCCCCATTTTAAAGTGGAGGAAGTGAGGCAAATATAGGGGTTAAGTGACTTGTCTAGGGTCACATAGCTATTAAGTGTCTGAAGTCAGATTTGAACTTAGGTTTTCCTGAATCCAAGGCCATTGTTCTATCCACTATATCACTTAGCTGCCCCTTCTTCTTTAAGGCTACCTTAACCAGAAACTGGGGCGGGGGGAGGGAGACCGGAGATAGATTAGATAACCCGTCACCTCTACTCATTCTAAATCCCCAAAGAGGTGAGGCTTATCAAGGAAGTGTCTCTGGATCCAATCTCTTCCCTACTTTCTCTCTCCCAGATCTAAACCCTCTACCATTTGCACCATCAAGAGGGAGTTACTCATTGATACTAAAGAATTCTAGCCCCATGAGGGCTGTTAACCTTGGAACCAAAGGTGTAGTGCTCAAATAGAAGTGCCCTCTCCCCTTTTCTTTTCCTATCTCAGCCTTATAGGAATCAGAATAGGTTCTGTGAATGTCCTAGCCTACTGTTGATTTTTTTTTCTGCTCAATTTGAAAGCCTGCATGCACATCAAATTTATAGCTGCTATAAAGTTGGGAAGGAGAATTACTATATGGAAGGAGAGAATTGGAATCCAAAAAAAGTCTTTAGAGGCTATAATGATAAGCTGAACCCAAGAAGATGAAATTGCATTAGGGATAAATGTTAACAGAAAAAAAATCTGCTCTGTGGCAAGGACATATGTATTTCACAGTAAGTCCATGTATATGTGGGTCATAGTGAAGGTACAAATCCTCTGGTGGATAGTTACACCGCGTAGAGGCAGATTTTCAAACCCTACATAGACCACACAAGCGCCTGCCCCAACTTGGTTCCATTGTGCGTGGCCTTGGTCAGAGCAGGACTAGTGACTGCCTGACAGCAGGATGAGAGGCCTCAAAGTTCTGCTCTTCTCTTTTCGGAGGCAGGTGTTTGGTTTGGGGTCCGTGGCCCAGAAGGTTCTGGGGGGAAGTAATTATGGGACATACCTCAGCATCAACTTGGCATTTGGCTTTGGCGTCGCCATGGGGGTCCACATAGCTGGGGGAATCTCTGGTGAGTACCTGGAAATCAGACCTTGCCCTAAAACAGATCATCCCCTTGCTTTATTTGTCTACATAAGCTGATGCCATTCTTTTCCCTCCAATGCTAAATCATTTTCACATGTCCAAAGTAAAAAAGAGTTCTGAGAGGGACCTCCCAGCCCACCCAAAAAACCTGTCCCTCTTCACTGATTGCCAATCATTCCAGGTACCCCGCCACCACCTTCCCTTCCGAATTCCCCTGAAGGTTCCCCTTCCTCATTCTCCTTTCCCCTCCCCCTCCCCCACAATTTCTCTGAAGCCTCTACCCCTAGGTCTTCTTCTTAAATTCCCTTCCCAGCTTCCCCTCCACCCTAGGGCCTATGTCACATGACCTTTTGGAAAAGTGTTCCAACCTACTCAGCAACTGACTCTGGGGACATATTCCAGACCAAGCTTCCCTTCCCCTCAAGCCCCATTCTCTTTCCCCTAGGCGCCCACATGAACTGTGCCATTACTTTTACGAGCTGTGTCCTGGGTCAGATGTCCTGGAAGAAATTTCCTGTCTATACAGTGGGACAGTGCTTTGGGTCCTTCTTGGCATCGTTTACCATATATGGCCTCTACTATGGTGAGTCCCACACTAATAGAGTCTGGAGGTCCTACGGACAGAGCCATAGGGTCCAGTCTGCTGGACACTTCCATCTGACCTCTTGCAGATCCCAGGGCAAGTCTCCTGATTCCTCAACTGTAAAATTAGGATTATTAGATTAGATGATTTCTAAATTCCTGTCAAGCTCTGATATTCAAGAATTCCAAATCATTTCTCAACTCTGGACCTATGTCTCCCTATCTGTGAAATGGGTGGTATTGGGTACATACATACTCGTTCCTGTCTCCTCCCTCATCCTCTGCCCTGATATAAAGAGGGTATATACCTCCCTTCCTAAAGTAAACATTTCTGTTTGCTTCCTCCACTCCAGGATAGATGGCTCCCTATTCTATATTCCACATTTCTCAAGTCCTATGCCCCCACTCTATGGGAGTAACATAAAAAGAAGAACGACTCAGGCTTCCTACTATCTCATTTCCTTCTGAGCCCTGAAACCTAGTTTCTTAGCTGGCTTGGGGGGTGGGGTAGGGGAAAGGGTCATAGGTCCTAGACTCTTGATTGCCATGAGTCTATAACAGTTTGAGACCTACCAACTGTGATTTTTCATTTTCTTTTCCCAGAAGCACTCATGCGGTATACAAATGGGAATTTGACAGTAACTGGACCCCAGGCAACTGCTGGCATCTTTGCTACTTACCCTGCTTCCCACATGACTCTGTGGAGGGGATTCATAGATGAGGTCAGTGGTGAGTGAGGGGCTCAGTTCAGGTGGGGGAATGAGAGCGTTGCATGGGAATTAAGGGCAACCAGGGAAGCTTCAAGTGCCATGGGAGAGATTTAAGGGCCCTCCTAGCCACTTTCATACATACGGAAATAGGCGTCTTCTGGACCCAGAGAACCCTGCCTATATTGTCTACTGTGTTAGCGCATCCAATGATCCGAGGATGAGCTCTGGAAAGAGGGGAGGTATTTCAGATGAAGGGTGAACACTTCAAATCTGCCCAAGTGGAGGGCAAACTCTAACCCTTCCCCCAGCTCCCTTGAACATTTGCCCAGAGGCAACACTGCTGTCCATTGAGCAGGATCGTCTCTATGTGAAGGCAAAGAAGGTATATTATCTGAGGAGCCCCAAGAAGACCTCTGACCCTGAAATACCTCATTCACAGTAACTGAAATTCTTCCATTAGTTTCATTCATTTCCACGTGGCATTGTCTTCTTTAAGATGGAAATAAGCAAATTGAGTTCAACAAGGATTTTATCCCCTTTCTTTCTGTAGGCAGATGAGAGGGCTTGGAGGTCATGTGGTCTTGGTCTTGGGGAGCTTACAGCATGGAAGGGGAGAGAGGATTTGCATCCTCAGAACAAAGGGAGAACAATGTAGAATAGCATATCATCAAGAAACCAGAGTTTGGGAACTTGGAAGAAATCAGAGAAAGAGAAAATCAGTGAGGCTGATTTGGGAGTAACTCATGGCTAGAACTTGAGGTTAGGTCATGAGAATCATGGGTAGGATCTGGGTGGTAAGAAAGGAAGGGGAGGTGATTCAGTAAGTCTTCTTTGCTGGGTCATCTGTGTCCCACCCCCTAAGTGTAGGTGTCCTCCAAAACTCTGACTAGGAAGGAAAGAAGCAAGGAACAAAACAAGCATTTATTAAACACCTATTATGGGCCAGGCACTGTGCTAAATGCTTTAGAAATATTATCTCATTTGATCCTTACAACAACCCTAGGAGGTACGTACTATTTTACAGTTTAGGAAACTGAGATTAAGTGACTTGCCAGGGTCACACAGCTAGCAGGTGTGCCTGATGTGGAATTTGAACTCAGGTACTCCTCACTCTAGGTCCAGGGCTCTATCCATTATGTCACATAACTGCCTCTCTCTCTGTCTCTGTCTCTGTCTCTGTCTCTCTCTCCTCCTCTTTCCCCCCTTCTCCCCCCTCCTCTCCCTCTCTCTCTCTCTCTCCCCCCCTTCCTCTCTCTCCCTTTCTCCTTCCCCCTTCCCTTTCCCCCCCATCTCCTCTCATTCTCTCCTCCCCCTCTCATCAGTTCTTATGGGTTTAATTATCCCAGACTGATATAGCCGATCCTATTCTGTCTCCCTAACTCTGGTACCCACATCTGCCTGGTAGGCACCTCTAACTAGATGTTCTGTAGGCAGCTCAACCTCAACATATGAAAACAGAACTCCTTATCTTCCCCTCTAAACCCACCCCTCCTCTAAACATATTTCTTCCTGTTGAGAGCACTACCTTTCCTTCTAGTCACTCAGTTTGCAATCTTAGGGTCAATCCTCAAATCTTCCCTTGCCTCATTCCACATAGCCAGTCAGTTGCTGAATCTTGTCAATAGCACCTCCCCAACATACCTTGCATCCATTGCCTTCACATTGTCATCCATCATCCTGGTTAAGGCTCACTTGCCAAGGCCAGGTGTAACAACCTCGTAATGACGCTCCTGCTTTCCAGTCTCTGCACTTTCCAATCCATCCTCCATACAGATGCCAAATTGATATTCCTTTTTTTTAAAAAATTATTTATTTGGTATTTTATTTTTCCCCTAATTGCATGTAAAAACAATTTTTAACATTTAACAATGTTTGAGTTCCAAATTCTCTCCCTCCCTCCCCACTAACCTCATTGAGAAGGAAAGCAATTTGATATATGTTATGCTTAGTTCATGTTGTAAAAGAAAACACCCCCCCCGCAAAAAAACACCAAGAAAAATAAAGAAAGTAAAAAAGTATGCTTTGATCTGTATTCAGACTCCATCAGTTCTTTCTCTGGGATTGGATAGCAAGTCTTTCAGAGTTGTCTTGGATCACTGTATTGCTGAGAATTAGCCAAGATGCTCACAGTCGATCATCATACAGTATTGCTGCTACTATGTACAATGTTGTCCTGGTTCTGCTCATTTCACTTTGCATCAGTTCATGTAGGTCTTTGCAGGTTTTTCTGAGAGCATCCTGCTCATCATTTCTTATAGCACAACAGTATTCCATCACAATCATATACCACAACTTGTTCAGCCATTCCCCAACTGATGGGCATCCCCTCAATTTCTAATTCTATGCCACCAGAAAAGAGCTACTATAAAATATTTTGTACTTATAAGTCTTTCCCCTTGTTTTTTAATCTCTTTTGTAATACAGATCTAGTAATGGTCTTACTAAGTTAAAGTACATGCATGATTTTATAGCCTTTTGGGCATAGTTCCATATTGCTCTCCAGAATGGTTGAATCAGTTCACAACTCCACCAACAGTGCATTAGTGTCCCACCAAATTGATATTCCTGACGCACAAGTTTGGACCATGTTAAGCCTGTGCTCAAAAACCTTTAGTGACCCACCCGTCTGTTCAGCTTTTAAAGTTCTTCACAATCTGGCCCTAGTCTGTCTTTCCAAGCTTAATTCATATTATTCTCTTTTACACAATCTCCATTTCAGGCCTGCTGTCCAATGTACTTTCTTCCAGACTTAGTATTCTGTCTCTTCTCTTGTGCCTCATCCCTGGAATTCACTTTCTCCTCACCTGTGCCTCTAAGTATATCTCCTTCAAGGCTCATGTATCACATTCCCCAGGAAGCCTTCCTGATTCTACTAGTTGTTAGTGTTCTTTCTTTCAAATAATCCTCTGTATATTTATGTTTATATGGTATATCTCCAAGTAGAATGTAAATGCAAGGCCTGTTTAATTTGGTTTCTGTATTCCTTGCCCCTAGTGCAATGCCTTGTACATGGTAGGCACACATATTAAGTCCCCACATGAATAGTGCTATTACCTTGGATTTGGATTGGATTAGAAAAGGCAAGAAGGAGAATCAATACTGAAAACACTTCCTTCCTTGAGTTCCTATCTCTCTTGCTGAGTCCCATCATTCTCACTAAGCCTTTTCCCCCACTGAGTTTCAGCTCCAGAAATTCTAACAAGTTCAAGCTTGTTCCCTCATAATCAGTTTTAATTAAGTCACATCCATCCCAGAGAAGTGCAAAATTGTCACAATTATTTTCAAAAAAGATTCTGAGATTCCCTTCTGTGGTCTGTACGGTTGAGAAGAACTGTCTTCCCTTGTCCATTTTAAGGAATGATTTGGTTTCTGAACACCTGGTTTCCTGGTAGTCTGATCTCTTAAGTGGGTTATCTCAGTGTTTTCCATAGAGCTACTCTCCTCCTCAAGTCAGCAGGCAGACCCCGGTTGTAGTTTTCTACCACTACTTCTGAAAGATTTTGATAAATTGAGTCATAATAGCTAGCATTTATAGAGTGCTCTAAGGTTTGCAAAGCACTTTACATCTATACCTCATTTGATCCTTAAAACAATCTTGTGAGGTAGGTGCTATTATTTTTACAGATGAGGAAACAGAGTAAAAGAGGTTAAGTGTCACATAGCTACTAAGTGCTTGTGGCAGGATTTGAACTTGGACCTTCCTGATCCAGCACTCTAGCCATTGTGCCACGTAACTGCCTCCTCTTCTCCTATCCATTAGCACCACAATGATGCCCTACCAGTTCTGTACTTTGTGATTCTTCACCTTAGGATGGCCTCCACATCATAAAAATCCTACTGACTACGTTCAGGCCCCATCTGATCTCCACACTGAGCTTTGACCCTTATCTCCCCTTCTGTCTTTGTTCAGAATGCTCCTCATGGCTGAAGTGGCCTCCTCCCAATTTCTATTGCTTCTTATTTAAATCCTTCCCTTTAAAAAATATTATTTTTAACAGTTTTTTAAAAATTTGGTTTCTGAATGAATTTCCCTCATGCAAAATCATGTGAAGCATATTTCCATATTAGTCACGTTGCCAAAAAAAGCAATAAAAGTAAAACAAAAAATTATGCTTCAATCTGCATTTGGATTCCATCGGCTCTTTCTCTGGAGGTGGACGGCATTGTTCATCATATGTCCTTTGGAATTGGCTTGGCTTGTTGTATTGATCAGAACAGCTAAGTCATTCACAGCTGATCATTGTACAGTATTGCTGCTATTGCGTACGATGTTTTCCTGGTTCTGCTCACTTTACTTTGCAGCAGTTCATAGAAGTCTTCCCAGGTTTTTCTGAAACCACCTTCCCTTATTCTGAGACCCAATTAGGATGCCACCTCCTTCTAGAAGTCTTCCCTATTCCCCTGACTGGAAAGTGATTTCTCCTTTCTTGAGTCTTTCACAGCACACTTGGTGGGGGTGAGAGAGTGCGGGTTGGGGTAGGGAGACGGAATATATATCTTGACTTGTGACTTCCCCAGTTGGGAAATTCCCCCTACTAATGTATATCTGTAAGTGTTCTACAACTTATATTCTTAGACCTGAATGGGACCTGAAGGCACTTGTCCAGAGTTACACAGCCAGTCCATGTCAGAGGTGGAATTTGAACCCAGGTCTTACTGACTCTAACGTCCCTTCTCTATGCACTGCTCTTGGCCGTGCTATTTCTCATAGTAATGCTAATAGCTGAAATTTATAGAGAGATTTATAACTTGCAAAGCAGTTATACATATCTTATCTCATTTGATTCTCACAACTACCCTATGAGGCTGGTGGGGCAGTTATCATTTTCCCTATTTTACAGACTGGGAAAGTGAAGCTCTGAGAAGTAAAATGACATAATACAATTTAAGACTAGAAGGGACCTTAAAGATCATTTTGCTCAACCCCCTCATTTTATAGATGAAGAAACTCCCCAGTCCTACAAAGATGAAATTATTTGCCCAAGCAGACATAGACAGTAAGTGGAAGAGCCAGAATTTGAACACAGGTCTTCTGGACTCCAAATTTGCTGCTCTTTCCACTAAACCACAGCTTCCCTCCTAAGAACTGATCATACTCAAATTTGTATTATGTTTGTATACTGGTCATTTCTTACACTAAACTGTAAGCTCCTGTGGATCTCATATATTTTCTTTATCCCTAGGAGCTAGCATGGTCCCTTGTACATAATAGGTATTTAACAAATCTTTGTTGAATAAATGCACAAATGAAAAATGAATGAATGAATGAATGAATGAATAAGCTAACCCCTTACTGAACTCCCATTCCAATCCCTAGTATGTCCCTAGTACTTGGTACTGCAGGAGAAAATGCAGGTGGAAATGATGCCCCCCTAGTTTGCTGGGCTGCTTCTTTGAAGCCAGGTTCTCTTCCCAACAGGTATTCCCTGGGGTGAAGTTTCCTTTTTTTTTTTTTGTTTTCCATAGACATACTTAACCGGACTACTCCAGCTATGCCTGTTGGCCATCACTGACAAAAAGAACAACCCGGCTCTGCAAGGGACCCACGCTTTGGTTATAGGTATCCTCGTGGTCACAATAGGATTGTCACTGGGCATGAACACTGGTTATGCCATCAACCCGTCCAGGGACCTGCCCCCAAGGATCTTCACGAGCATTGCTGGCTGGGGCAATGAAGTCTTCACGTAATTCATTTTCATTCAGTTTGGTTCAACATAATAAGCATTTCCTGAGGCACCTCCCCCACTCCCATCCCTGACTTCAACACTTACCTGGGGGTGCTGAGAGTTTAAATGATTTTCTCATGGTTCCACAGCTCCATGTATGTCAGAGATGGGACCTAAGTCTTCCTGACTACAGGACTGGCTCTCTCTTCATTTAGATACCGTCTTGGTTTCCCTTGACCAGACTCTGTGCCCCATAATGACCGGTGCATGAAGCTCCTCTCAATAAGTGTCAGCATAGAATAGATAATAGATAGAGGGCCAGTTTTAGAGTCAGGAAAACCTATATTCTTGACAAGCACAGGCGGCAAGTTATTAACATCTCCGTGCTCCGAGGTAAACTCTTTGAGCCCATATAGAGCTTTTAAGGTTTATAAATAATAATAGCATTTTAAGATTTACAAAGTGCTTTCATAAAGTATTTGATCCTCAGAACCTCAGCTCCCATTTGATCCTCAGAACAACCTGGGAGGTAGGCACTATTTCTATTTTGCAGATTGGCAAGCTAAGGCCAGGGGTCATGCAGCCCTTTCCAGTACACCAAGCTGCTCTCCCAGTGTGGATTCAATGAAGCTTTGCTGTGTAAAAGCCCTGATAGCTGGTCTGTGGACATGTAAAATTTAAAAACAAACCAAAAAAACCCTGAAAAGCCCCTCTACCTTCATCAGGGAGCCCTTTGTCTTTTCGATGACATGACTCTGTCCTGGGAAACTCTGAGCGTGACAGTTCCCAAATGTCAACTCTTGGGTCCTGCGATGGCTGTGTGACCAAGAGATGCTTGACATGGTCTGAATATTCTGACATGGGGGATGCGCAGGGTGAAGAATTTCAGGTATCTGGAGTTTTTAAAATATTGAGTATTGCCCAGGAGCAGATTGGCAGAGGAGGGAGTTACTAGATTTTCATTCTCACAGACCTTATGTGGAGTAGACAAGTAGCGTGTAAGAGTATATGAGTTAAATGTTTGATGTGCAGATTTTCTTGAGTAGGGTATTAAAAATCAAAGCTAGCCTGAGAGGAATAAGAAATACAGCTCTTGGTACAGCAGTAAATGTTTTCTCTCCAGTGCGGCAGGGAACACTTTTCTCCTCCCCTGATTTCTGCATTTCTGTGCTCAAGTAAGGCAGATTCTCTAAATGTTCCCATCCCAATGTAATGAGAAGCCCTCTGGCCTGGGAGCTGGTAGGCTTGATTTCTAGTATAAGCTTTGCTAGCAGTTAGCCAATGGAGTAATTAGTCACATGACCTTAGGCAGGCACTTTTGCTCTCTCCCATACTCAGTTCCTCTGTCTGTAAAAAAGAGGGACATAGACTTTATTTCTAAGCTCTGATTCAGTCCCCAGTACCTCAGGGTGAACAAATTTTATTAGCACTTTCTCCAGCTCTGATACGATTTCTCTTTCTTCTCTACCCTGTGGAAAGTAGGTTGGAATTATTCCATGTTTAGGGGAAGATGGGCCCCCTCTGTTGCATATAAAATTGAGGACTCTGACTGTGATGTGTTTGGTGGGGGGAGCCCCTGAGATCTGACTCCTGGGGACCCAGGTAGTCCTCTCATTGTGTCTCGGTCTCATTCTTGACTTTTCTGTCTCCTTTGCAGAGCGGGGAACAGCTGGTGGTGGGTCCCTGTGGTAGCCCCGCTATTGGGAGCTGTCATGGGAGCCGTTGTCTACCTAACCTTTGTTGGATCCAGCAACATTCCTCAGAATCGAAATGCAGAGGTTATGCCTAACCCTCAAGTCCTGCAGCCTGGGAAGCCGAAGGTGGTTGTAGTCTCATCTCTTCAGCCACCTGCGCCTTCCCCCGCCTCTCACTCAAATGGGAGCTCTCCCCAGGCTGCCCCTCTTCCTCCTGCATCCCCTTCTCCTTTATCCCTTTCATTTAAATCTATTTCTCCTAGAATTAAAGAGGAAGAGGACACATTTATGTGACAAGGAGACAAATAAAGTCATCCCAAAGAAACTTCTCTTCCTTGAGTGTTGTTGGGCTAGGCCAAAAGAGCTGATCCCTAAAACTGTCGTCTTTTTTCTGCTTCCTTCAGTCCCTTTCAGTCTTCCATACAGTAGTCCCAGTCTTGCAACCCAAGACCCTTTTAACTTGGAGAAGATGTCTAACAAAATTCATTTATCCTGAGGTATTGGGGACTAAAGGGTGGTCTTCCTTCCAGGGAAATTTGCAGCTTAGAAAAGGAGACTTAAGAAGGGAAAGGCTCAAACCTAAGGACTGAATCATAGTGTTAGATTTTTTTTTTAAGAGATCAGAGGAATCATCTGAGCCATCTTCTCAAACTCGACCAAACGCCTGCAAAGTGTCAGCCAGGCTCTGTATGAATGCCTCCATTAACTCTCCAGTGGTGGAATTTGGGACACTGTGGGAGGCCAAAAGGAGATCCTGGAGATTCTAGGATCACAGATTTAGAGCTTGAATGATCTAAGGGTTGTCTAGTTCAATCCTCTCATTTTAGAGATGAAGCTAAGACCCAGAGAGTTTAAGTGACCTGGCCAAGATGATCAAAGAGGAAAGTGGTTGAACTCAATATCCAAATGGCATTTTGTACATGGCATTGGGGCACTTCCTGGCCCAACTTCTTGGTATGACATCTGTGTATAGGGTCTACTTTCAGCATGATTCACCAACCATTTGGAGCAACACTGAGACTTCAGGTTTGTATTCCCCCAGAGTTTTCATAAGATCCTAGATTTAGAGCTGGCGGGGATTTTAGAGGTTATAGAATCCAACCACCCCATTTTATAGATGAGGAAACCAAGGCCCTAAGAAGTTAAGTGACTGGCTCAGGTCTGTCAGCATCAAGCATCTGCTATGTGCCAGGCACTGTGCTAAGTACTAGGGATACAAAGTGAGGCAAAAGACAGGCCCTGCCCTCAAGAAGCTCACATTTTAATGGGGGAGATAACATGCAAACAACTACGTACAAACAAGACACATACAGCCACAGAGGGAAAGCACTCATATTAAAGGGGATTGGGAAGGCAGGTGGGATTTTAGTTGGGACTTGAAGGAAGCTAGGGAAGCCAGGAGGTGGGGAAAAGGAGGGAGAAAATTCAAGGCAAGAGGACAAACCAGTAAAAAATACATGGAGTTGGGAGATGGAGTGCCTTGTGTGAGAACAAGGAGGCCAGTGACACTGGAGCATAGGGTATGTGGGAGTGAGTAAATTTTAAGGACCTTCACTGGGGGAGGAGCAGAGGAGAGGAGGGGCATATAGGAGAGGTTATGAAGATAAAATTGATAGGATTTGATCACTGATTGTCTATGAAGGCAAGAGTGAGGAGTGAGGATGAAACCTAAATTGTGAACATGGGTGATGGGAACGTTGCCCTCAGCAACAACAACAGGAAAACTAGGAAGAGGGGAGGGCTTGGGCAGGAGAGAGAATGAGTTCAGTCTGGGACATGTTGGGTTTAAGATACTTAAGCTATATCCAGTTTGAGCTATCCAACAGGCACTTGGAGATGTGAGTCTAGAGGTTAGGAGAGAAGTTAGGATTGGATAAGTAGATACAAGAATCCTCCACACAGACTTACTAGCTGTGTGACCCTGGGCAAGTCACTTAAGCACGATCGGCTCAACAAAAAGAAAAAAAAAAGAATCATCCACACAGAAAGCATAATGGAATCCATGTGGGAGCTGATGAGATCACCAAACAAAACAGTACATAGAAGAGGGGCAAGGACAGTGCCCTGGAGTACACCCACAGTTTTTGAGCATGACTTAGAATTCATAGGTTCCTATACCACCCCCTGGGGATGCTGGAATGATGCAGGGGGGCAGTAGCAGCCTTGGGGCTGCTGAGTAAAAATTAAGGGGGTGGTGGAAACATAAGGAAAGAAGAGAAGAAAGTTTTGAAAAAACAGTCGTACATGTTTCATCTGTTGTATAACAGAGTTAAAGTCATAGTGATTACATTATTTTCCAAATAAACACACAAAATGCAAGTAATAACCAATCAGTGGTTAAGTCCACTGACAGGTCTTAACAAGCAAGTGTTGGCAAGTGAGGGTGTTGCATATTATCAGGAAATCCGGCATGCATCAGCAGGAATATGTGTGTGCAAGGACTTGTTTATAATACGATACTATATGGTTACATGATACAATATTGTGTCATCAAAATTTCAATGCAGGAAAAAACCCAAAATTTTATAATAAATTGTTAAATTTAAGATGCGTCATTTTGAAAAAAAATATTTTTTAAATGATGCAAATTTTAAAAAATTGTTAAAGGGTTAAAGAAAGTAGATTTCCAGGGGGAGGGGGTAGTGCTGAACATATTTTTTTTTCTTGGAAAGGGGGTGGTAGGCCAAATAAGTTTGGAAATCCCTGACTAGATGAAGATCCAGCAAAGGGCTCCGAGAGGCAATGGTCAGACAGGTCAGAGGAGTACCAAAATCATTTCACAAAAACCTAGAGAAATGACAGTATCAAGGTGAAGAGGGTGATTAACAGTGTCAAAGGCTACAGAAAAATTATGAAGAATGAGGACTGAGAAAGGCCCTTAGGTTTTATGATTAAGGCATCATTGTAGGGGCAGCTTGGTGGCACAGTAGGTAGAACACCAGCCTTGGAATCAAGGGGTCCTGAGTTTAGATCTGGCCTCAGACATTTACTGTGTGACCCCGGACAAGTCACTTAACCCCAACTGCCTAAAAGCATAAAAAAAAAAAGAGAGGAGAGATATGGAATGATAAGTAGTAGGGAAGAATGGGTCAAGTGAGAATTTTATGAGAATGGGGGAAACATGGACACATTTGTTGGAAGCAGAGAAGTAAGCCATTAGAGACAGAAGATAATTGTGAGAATGGGATGATAAATGTCTGAGACAAGATTCTAACCCAGGTCTTCCGCGGACTCTAGTCCAGTCTAGTGCTCTGGCCGTTAACATTGCTTGTAGTTAAATGATGAATCAATCAATCAGAAAAAATGGGAATGAAAAAGAATAACATGAAAAATGGGGAAAAAGATAATGTAAAATACTTCATTGGAAAAACTAAGTAACCTGGAAAATACATCCAGGAAAGATAAATTAAGAATTATTGATCTATCTGAAAACTATAATCAAAAAAGAGTCTGGAGAGCATATTTCAGGAAATGATCAAGGAAAACTGCCAGAGGTCCTAGCAGCAGAGAGGAAAATAGTCACTGAAAAAATCCACCAATCACCTCCTGAAAGAGATCCCAAATTGAAAATAACAAGAAATGCTGTAGCTAAATTCCAGAATGATCAAGTCAAGGAGAAAATACTGAATTGGCCAAATGGAAAAGGAGGCACAAAAATTCACTGAAGGAACTCCTTAAAAATAAAATGGGCCAAATGGAAAAGGAGGTACAAAATCTAATAGAAGATAAGAATTCATTAAAAATGAGAATGGAGCAAGTAGAAGCTAATGACTCTATGAAAGAGTAAAAATCAATCAAATTATACAAAAGAATGAAAACATAAAAGACAACATAAAATATCTCATTGGTAAAATAACTGACCTGGAAAATAGATCCAGGAGAGGAAATATTTGATCTACCTGAAAACCACGATGAAAAAAAGAGTCCGGATAACATCCTTCAGGAAATCATCAAAAAACTGCCCTGAGGCCCTAGAACCAGGGGGGGAAATGTCATTGGAAGAATCCATAGATCATCTCCTGAAAGACATCCCAAATTGAAAATGCCAAGGAATACTGTAGCGAAATTCCAGAATGATCAAGTCAAGGAGAAAATACTGCAAACAGCCAGACAGAAATAATTTAAATATCATGAAACCACAGTCAGGATTATGCAGGACCTGGCAGCTTCTACATTAAGGGCTTGGAATATGATATTCCATAAGGCAAAGGAGCTTAGATTAAAGCCAAGGATCAACTATCCAGCAAAATTGAATATAATCTTTCAGAGAAGGAGATGGACATTCAAAGAAATAGGGAACTTCCAAACTTTCCTGATGAAAAGGCCAAAGCTTAACAGAAAATTCTACCTTCAAATACAAGACTCAGGAAAAGCATAAAAAAGTAAATAGGAAAAGGAAAAAAAAAGTATTATTCAATAAGGGCAAACTGTTTACATCCCTACAAGGAAAAATGTTATTTGTAACACTTGTGAACTGTATATTTATTATGACATATAGAGGGGGTATACATAAACAGAGGGGGTGGGTATAAGTTGACATTGATATGATTAAAAAAACCAAAGGGATTATACTGGGAGAAAAGGAAAGGAGGAAGCAGAAAAGGGTAAACTACATCATATGAAGAGGCACAAAGACCAATTACAGTAGGGGGAAAGAAGGGAAGGAGATGAGCATTATTTAAACTTTACTGTCATCAAATTTGGCTCACAAGAGGGAATAATTTAATCAGTTAGGTATAGAAATCTAACTTACCTTATAGGAAGTAGGAGAGGAAGGGGAAAAGAAAAGGGAGGAGTGGACAGAAGGAAGGAAAGAAATAGTAAGGGAAAAAGAAAGAAAAGGGAGGGCAGACTGAGGGAGGAAGTGGTCAAAAGCAAAACTCTAGTGAGGAGAGAA